GTTGCAGCGTTTTGTTGTATTATCTCAACCTTAGTTAATAGTTCCTGACATTTCTACATGCTTTGACAAAGAATTTATTGCATGCAATTTGTAAGTTACGGATACGTATTGTTCTGTGTTCCACTGAAAGTTTTTATACTCTGAGTGGTGTAGAACAAACCACGAATAAAGAGAACACACCACGGGTCAAGTGTTCGCTTACCAAAGTGTAAGAACAATGAACAAGAAACTGTCAGGTCAAAACATAGTCGCGTTCTTTTTTGAGAGGTGGTCGTTTACGAGAGGTTCTTATCATAGGGCTTTGGGCGGGAAAATTTTGGTGTTTGGATAGGTGGTCGCGGATCGCTTATGGGAGGTGGCCGCCTACGAGAGGTTCTTACCATAGGGCTTTTGGTAGGAAAATTTTGGGTCATCAGATGTTTGCAAAGTATTCAAAGAACTTTACTAGTACTAGCAAAAATATTTTTAGCAAAAAACTTTAACAGTGAAAGTTAAAGAAACAAATTTATTAAATTACATAATGTATACTAATAAATGGAGAAATGGGCAAAAAAGAAATGACTTTTTAGCGAGAAAATGCATTTATCAGTATTTAAGTAATGGTCCAGCTAAGAAGCAGGCAGAAAAACAATAGCCCGCGGCAATAGCGTCAGTTATTTTTCAGGCGCTAATTTCTCTAATCAAATTAAATCTGAATGCTCTGATTGGTCAATACAGCTAAAAGCGCGAAATTTGAATTTTAAAGTTGAATTAAGATAGCTTAAGACTCATTCGAACAACTTTTTATTTCGTCTATTGCTTTGTTATGTTGAAAAATATAACATATCTAAAATTTAAAAGATTTCTATGCGCCAAACCCGAGGAAGTTAAACTGATATGAAATTACACGAAGATGAGCACAGTGTTACATCAATCAGCGACGTTGGGAACAACATTTACGTCGGCTCTCACAAAAGAAATGTCAAAACCATGATCGTAAACAGCAGCAATTCACTCTCACGTGGCGAATCTGGCGAACGCGCCAATGTCGCGCGTTCATATTCGGCCACCATACAGAACAACAACAAGTACACAAAATCAAATCCAAATGTTATCTAAATGTTCTGCTTTTGGAAAAAAAGAGGATGTTGCCCAGATAGAAAAAATTCCTGCATGTTCGGATAATCGGGTTTCAGAAAAAGCTCTCCTACAGTTTATCTGTTTTCAAGGTTTTGATATTACTCTATAAAAATCCTTCTTACAATCTCTCTCGTCCTTGGAAAAAATAAAGGCAAGCTACAGTCATGCTCGCTAGATCTTCCGTACCAAGAGAAACTCAAACACCAGTGACAGCTATTTATGATACCTAAGCGGCTTCCGTCTCGGTATTCTCCGTCTCAGAACTCAAAGGTACAAAATGCAAACGTGTCACAAATTTCAATTCGCTCATTTTAACTTAAGGTCCACGGCGAACTTCCATTTCGCTTGATGAAGCAGTCTAGAGAGAAAAAAAATCGAATGAAAGATGGGTAAAGATACACGGAATATGGAAGTTTCGAAAGGGGCAAACACATGAATAACACATAATGCGCGCGGAGGTGCGAAAATCTATTGAATTCAGCTTACCTCAAGCTCAAGTGTTCTACATCTCTTCGAGAAATAAATTCATCCTTGTAAAAACAACAAATCTTTCGCTTTCTCCTTTTATGCCCAGCTGTACTCCAATTTCTAGTGCCACAATTATTCTGATCTCCTCCTGATCCGGCCTGACAACGAAAACAACTACGCCGGGCCCAAATTCCCACATGGCGACTCGGCATGTCGAGGACGGCAGCAAACCATGTTTAAGAGCATTTTGACGATCACTCCGATGATAAAATACAGTAAATTTGAGATAAATATTCAATAAAGAAAAAATGCAGATTTTTCACGAAGAAATTGACGAGATTTCTTCGGGTAAAAGACAAATTTCCTAATATCTCAAGTGTCACACTAAGATGGGGTCACAACAAGGTCGCGCGTGTGTTGCACGTTTTCCGCTCTAACTTTTGATTGGCGCATAGAACAATGCCGAAACTTGGCCGTGAGGTATAAGACAGGGAAATGGGGAGAATAAAGCAAAAAAAAGGTGTTTTTGTCACGTTTCTGAGTGTTTTTTTGGCGATTTTTGGATTTCGGCCAATCAGAACGCTTGATTTAATTGAAATTAATGATTAAAAGTTAGCACCTTTTAATCACTTTTGCAGTTCGCCTGCCTACCTCTTACACGGACCATTACTTAAATAATATATACTAATAAATGGAGTAATGGGCAAAAAATGAAATGACTGTTTAGCGAGAAAATGCATCTATTAGTATTTAAATACTATATACTAATGGATAGGTGGTCGTTTACGAGAAGTTCTTATCATAGGTCTTTGTGCGGGAAAATTTCGGTGTTTTGGATAGGTGGTCGCTTATGGGAGGTGGTTGCTTACGAGAGCTTCTTACGATAGGGCTTTGAGTAGGAAAATATTGGTGTTTGGATAGGTGGTCGCTTACGATTGGTGGTCGCACATGGAGGTTTACATCAGTACTCATTTACTAGCTAAATTTTCAATGTAGGTCGAAAAAAGGTCCAAATTTTAGGATAACCTGCTATAGTTTACGCTCACAAAATCGTTTGCAATATCCGCGTCTTCCTTGTATACTAACATCAGCATTGGGTTGTTCTTTGTTTACGTCATTGTAGTTCCGATTCCTCTTAAGGAACCTTAATCAAAGCATTTGTGGTAGTTATAACTAATATCAGGTTTTTTAAAACTGTTGCAAACTCACTGAAAAATACAGGTCTATTTGCATTTAGAGAGTCTAGAGTGGAACTTTCTTGTGCATATGTTTTAAAAATAGTAAGCTGCGTTTCAAGAAGTTCCCTTCTATTTTCAGTCTAAAGCGTAACTGTTGCTGATTGATCATAGTTCACTTGTTTTTAAACTTTCAAGTTTTCAAGATTCGTATAGATTAACCCTGGTTGATCAAATCTGGCTTTGATTCCGTTCACTAAGAGATATGAGGCGATCAAGACCGATTCTGCTGGTTGCTTCCTTCTCGAAAGTTAATGTTTGCTTATATCTGTTTTCCCTTTCATGAACAATGATAGAAAACTGATTGTGACAATTACCTACCTTAGTCCAGAATCCTTCAAAGCAATCGGAAGAAAAGAGCTTCCGGCGATCAATTTAATGAGCAAAAGAGCTGTGAATGGAACATTCCCGAGAAAAGTCAAGGATAAATACAATAATTGCTGCTCTTGTATAGCCTACATCATATCGACAAGTATCTGTGGTTAATGTAACGCACCAACAGACGTAGCACAGACGCAGACGTAGCACAGGCAGACCACCCTCTGTTGGTATGGCAAGTCATTGTTTATTGAAATCTGAGCATCTATTCTTCATCATACAGAGGAACAGTACAGCGGCTACAATTTGCTCTTAAACACAGACTTCATCGTGAATATTTCAACAAAAGTTAAAAGAAATGTTAACTGTGTCATGTGTCATGTTTTTGTCCCGAGCTGTTTAAGTCGATACTTTGCAAGATAATGTTTGACAAATGGCGGTGAGTCCTCATCATGCTCAAGATGAGGACCGACGTAAAAAATCTCTTCGATCCCGATAAAAAAAACTTCTAATCATTCTTTAAACAAGCTTCCTTTTCTCAAGCAAGGACAGCTTATATTCCACTCAGGCGATATATAACGTTTGGGGCATAGCGCAATAATAATGATAATAATGATGATGATGATGAATATGATGATAAAGCATCGTGTCTCTAAGCTGTGGAAGCTTGTGAGACATGGCGGAGAAGACCCAGAAAGCGTGACACGAGTTATTATTATTACTACTATATATTGTGACAATAATAATAATAATAATAATAATAATAATGATGATGATGATGATGATTTGAAGTGGTCAGCTGCAAATAAGTGTCTAACGCAACCACTTCCCCATTTTGGGAAGGAGGATGTTGCGTGAAGAGCATCGCAACTTTTCCTTACTGAGAAAAAGCCCGAGGACGAATTTGGGTGAATAGGTGTGCTCAGAAGCCTGAACCACACCTATATTAGGTGGTCTCCCTTAGGGTTTGAATTCTTTTTCACCGCCAAAATAGAGACTTTATTTTTACTCGATAAAGATAAAACAAGCAAGAATAAAATTTAATCCGGCAACAAGGTGTATCTTTCATACAAGGAGGGTCGAAAGTAACGTCTTTATTTTATGACATCGTCGATAGAACAACTTTATCAGTAAAAGTAGCAAAAAAAAAAAAAATTTATGGACAGTAAGGGTCGGCTATTTAAGCGAAGTCTAACTTAGATCGGGGATAAGGAAATCTTTGGATCTCCAGATCTCCAGTGAGTTATTTTAAGGAGACAAACGATTTTCCAGTCTACACTATATGCTTTCATGAAACTGTTCCCGAAAATGGTGTTTTCATTGGTCGATAGGCCACCACGTGACATTCAAATTACTGCCTGCAAATAATGGTCTGCTCATGCGCAATGTCGTCCGACTGTGTTTTTCTGCAAATAATATACAAGAATCACACTTTAAGGTGGCTCGTACTAGTTTCTTGCTTGGGGAGTCCATTGCGCTTGGCCATCCCACTCTTTACAATACGCTCGAAATAAACAAAGTAAATATGGCGGCGTGAGAATATGTTTTCGCAAGTATACTTTTGAGCAAGGTTGCTTTTGGCCTGTTTTAAATAAAATTCGCTTTTATCAGACTAAATTTACACTAAAAAATCCTTGAAATGTAGGTCACAACAATTCTTAGGCTATGTCGCCTGGTAACCATTAATGACGAAATGACAGTTATTTCAAGTCAAACGCTCATTGTATAGTCAAACCGTAAGAAAGGGCTGCTATAACTTTTGCTTGATATTTGATCTGTCCTTTCCGAGTTAAAACCACCATAAAGGGTGAAAACTAGCACAAGAAAGCCACCTTAATGTCACGGATGAGCTCCTATGCCCTATTTCCACACAGTAGTGGCGTATTCCCTTCCTTGTCTTGCCAGAAGAATACACTCTATTAATTCCTCACTGAAGTCAAATGGAATTTTATTAACAAATAGTTGTTTTTTCTCTCTTCCCCCGAGCACCCATCTCAAATCTTCTAAGGAAATCCAACACACGTGCCGTATCCAAATTCCATGGCAAACGTCAAGAGTATCTTCGGTAGCCCAGAGTAAAACACGAGCTATCCACTTTGGTTGGTTTCCGTTGATTCCGCCTGGAGCTTGTGGATGCCTTTGTAAAGATGAGTATATCGCTTCATCTGGAACTTCAGCATTCCTTAAGAATTCATAGAAGTCTTTTCCTATTTGGTTGCAAAGAACAAACTCGACAAACTCTCGTATAGCAATGATAAAAGTAGATCCTTTATAGACTGAAATGTTGTGTGGTGGCGGCCCTTTTGGTGTTTCCGTTCTGTAAATCTGGCGGGCTTTTAATAGGTGAACAAATTTAGTGCGACCCAAAAATTCGTTAGACACAGGAAAACTTTCTATGTTGTTGGTGTTATTAAGACCATGTAATGCTCGTACAATTTGCTTGTTATCATAAAGTGGGAAATCTTGCCCAACTAAACTGATGTAATACTTCCATTTAACGGTCGATTTCAAAAGCTCTTCCATGCAACTGAATTGAGCTTGAACTACAGTGATATGTCCCCAGGTGACGTCAACACTGTTTGCTGCGATAAAAACGTTTGAAAGACACCGGATAATGGCCTGTATTGCTTCACGGAAAACCGATGAGGACTTTTTGTCGACATGAATGCAGTAGACATTGTTTGGCATGTAAATAGCGCGTAGAATACGTTCAAACAGACGTGCACTTCTGTGAATAGTGAGTCCAAAAGCGATGGGTAACTGCTTTTCCTCTTTTGAAACTGGAGGATGAACAAAGCGCGTCTCTAAGACATGCGCGCAATCTTCATCAGGGTGATACTTGTCACGAATATATGCGTCATTCCACACGATTGGACGCTTTTTCAGTTTTTCTTCTCCAGATATAAGTTTTTTGCATCTTTCCCACTTTAACTTCTGCAAATAAGTATAGTAATATACTGAATATATTAGTGACTTTCCACCATTCGCTTCAAAGCGCTTTTTACGTCCAAGTGCGTCTGGGGTGCAATTGGTCAGTGGACTTATTGCTTTTATGTTATAAAGCGACTAAGAGAATCTTGTCTCCCTTTCGGTCTCTGCTTCCTTCACATTTCAGCGCCCTATTCATCATTAGAGAACTTGCTCACAGGTTTACCTCTCGCATGTTGCGACACATAGTTTTGTGACAAACCTAGAGTAAGCTGTGGAAGTTAAAGAATATGCTCTTCGGCTCTGTTCATACGTGAATAGATGTGGATAATTTGGGAGACTAGATAATTACCTTCACAAGATAGTAAGGAGAGAATTGATAGTCTCACCCTTAATTATCTATGGTCAGCTAAGTTTAAGTGATATTTATAGAATGAACGCCTTTTCTTAACACTGTCAAGCACAGAAATAATATCCCTTGTGTCCTTCTTATAGGAAAAATTAGGACACACGAAGATGTGTTCCCCTTTTTTCTTTCCGAGAGCGTTTTCGACCGTGAAAAGTTATGTGAACCTCATTTGGATAAGGTGTGCTGACAAAATTTAGCGAAATTCTGACAACATTCACGCTGCTGTTAATTCTAAAAATCTTCGAAAGATTTCTCTCACTTTTTGATTTTATTTTGATCGAAGCCTCGCTCTATTGTTTTGTAGTGACAAGCCCTCAGAATTGAAGTAAGAGGGACAGAGGATAACAAGTTTTTTTTAACCGTTTCTATGGTTACGGTACTTAAATCAGATCCCTCACTGCATTTGAAGTGATATTAGGCCTTAAAACTCGTGCATTAGGATGTTAATGCTAAGCTTGGACTTAATTCAGAGCTAAAAATAATGCATACATATGATTATAAAATAAAGTTTCAGAGAAACTACCCATCTACCCCTTCCCTAAGCTAACATTAACATTGCTTCTCACTTAGGGCAAAATGTTGACTTAGGGGAGGGGTAGGTGGGTAGTTTCCCAGGAACCTAAATTGATCCATTAAGCTGAGCATTCAGTTTTACCTGAGAAGCATTGAGAACACTGTTCACTTTCACCGTAGTTGTAGCAGTCAGCTTCTCCTTTGGTGCATGGAGGAATCTTTGCATCGTTACCTTCACATTTAGGATGCCTGACCGCATAACAACCAAAGTCACTACTACAGTTAAGACTAAGCATAACAACACCAAAACCTTGGCCGTTCTAAACGCCATAAAGTTGGTGGGCTTCTGAAAAACAAAAAGAAATCGAAAAAAAAAAGAAGAAGAAAAAGAAAAACGAAAATGAAATAGGTAGGCTCTTTAATTCCAGTTTAAAATTTGTATCGGGATAACGTTGTACCGGTAATAACTGAATCTTATCTCGAAATTTGTCATAAGAAAGATTGATTCTTTATCTCCGTTTCAACTTTTGGTAATCGGGATTCTCATTTCTATTGATTATCCTAAAAATTAAACGGCGTTTTTCTAGTAGTTTAGATTGCAGAGCACCTTTTTAAAACTCGGTTTTGATATTGCACATCCACTGGTTGCTCCTGCGATATATGATTTCCAAGTGTAATTTTATTCTTTACTAATGGGCCATTTGTAAAGAACTTAACGAATAGAAATTTCGCGTGAATCAAATATCGCTGGTGCAACTTACGGATTTCTCAGTTATTTTTTTCTCAGTTGATTTTGCTGCTGGTCTTTAGCCAATAAGTTGAAAACAAATGATAAAATCTGGTATTAGCTGGTTGCCTTGTCCCAAGTTGCTCGCGATCACCTTTTGGGGGATATTTGTCATGAGTTACTTATTAAGGAAAGCAGGGGTAAAAGGAATCCCTTTTAGCTTGATCCTGCTCTGCCCTCGTTCCCGTCATACCTCACTCGCGCTTCTCGCTTGTTCTGTGCTCCCCTGCAGTGCAGGAGGAGGCAGATGCTGTTTCACATGACTTCTAAGTCAATACAAAGAGAGCACAAGATCCAGGAGCCTGCTCTTGAAGGTCCTTTTTTTTTACTACTATAACATCACATATCAAATAACGTTCTTCGTTGTCAGAGAAGTTTGTTTTTCAACTTGATCCCGACTTATTTTCCAACCACCATGAAAGATTTTATGGCTAAATCAAAAGAGGATAAACTCAGTTCTAAACATCTACCTGCATAAATTCATCTGAAGCGATGATTTTACCTGAAGTATAACCGATCCTTTCTGATACATGTGTCTGAACCTTCCTATAAAGATCACTTGCTGGAGCTTCTGTCGGCGAAAGAGATATCCTGTCATTATTTTCAGTCGAAACACTTTGTACTCAGGAAGAGTTGAATCAGTTTCCAGTTTAACATGATGCTTGTTTTTTCGTCCTAGGATACAAGCGTCATCTTGTGGTATTTCTCAGTTGGAGCGTACGTTATAACTCCGTTTATCCTAGTCTGCAACACGGCCGTCCTTGGGCGACAATTTGAAAGAACGGCTGTGTAGCAGACTAAGTTTATTCTCGACTGCCATAAAATATTAAAAGTATTATTAAAATATTATTTTAAAGTTCTTACTAGTGCTTTAGAACCGCTAAAAACTCTTTTAAAGAGTAATCAAGTATTTAGATGCCAAGAGTAAAATACGTTTCCTCAATGAAATCGAAATTATCTGATATAAGCAAACTGAAGGGAAAATGGAGAAATCTAAACGAGTTCAATGTTATCCAATCTGGTTGCGGGTACATTTGACAGCTTCAAGTTAAAAAATTCTATTGAATGGGGGATATACTCTTTTACAAATAAAATTTCAGTTATCCTGACACTCTCACCGGCGGATTTTAAGTTAAGTTCTCATGCTATTTGAACTTTGAAAGCCAACGTAACCGACTCACATTGCTACCATAGGGAAATGATTTGCAGGTATGAAAAAAAAATTCAACTGTATGTAAATGAATGTGATCGATGACAACTTTAAGTAAAAAGTTCAGTTTCCTTCCCACAATTATATTTTTATATCCCCAAGCTTTGGAAGGATTCGTTTGTGGCATATAGCTCTATATGTATATACGTCTCTTTAAGGTGAATAAAAGAAAGAATTCTTGCAGAGTATCGATTTGCGATGAAACTAAATCTAAGGCCGACTATGAAACCACCTACTTGTTAACTTTTTCAATCGCGGCTCAGTAACGGAAACACACTACTAACCTCCATGGGCAAGGCACCTCATTTCATTAATAATCCATTCGCCCGAAACGGACGCCGAGTACTGAACACTCTAAAAGACTTAACAGCCCGGACAGCCTGACAAGCGATTTTACTGACATGTAACTATCAAGTTAGTTTTACAACGCTTGGTTTCAATTGACATAGTTATAACAAGACTCCCCTCTATCAACTATGGTTTTAAGTATAACCAACATGCTAATATTCTTAAATTACATCTTATAGTCTGATTACATAAAGCTAATTTCGACTGACCATGCAACCCACCGGTCATCTGAAGCGATGATTTTACCTGAAGTATAACCGATTGTTTCTGATACATGTATCTGAACCTTCTTATAAAGATCCCTTGCTGGAGCTTCTGTCGGCGAAAGAAATATCCTGTCACTATTTTCAGTCGAGACACTTTGTACTCAGGAAGAGTTGAATCAGTTCCCAGTTTAAATATGCTTGTTTTTTAGTCCTAGGATAGCAGCGTCATCTTGTGGTATTTCTCAGTTGGAGGCCAGGTACGTTATAACTCCGTTTACCCTAGTCTGCAACACGACCGTCCTTAGACGACAATTAAAAAGAACGGCTGTGTAGCAGACTAAGTTTATTCTCGACTGCTATAAAATATTTTTTTATTCTTCTCGCGGAGTGTGTTTATAATTTTGTCGCGCGCGCAGCGCGCGTATCACGCGAGGATCGCAAGCGAACTGCGATTTCGCTTTGATCATAAATCTTTCTATCGGTTTGGTATCCGCAGTTGCCTAGCAACAAGCCATAAACAAATTCTAAAGACGCCATTCGCATTATCTCCGTGTTTATTCGGGCTTTATATAGGCCGATCGATTAACGGACTGGTCTTCTTCTTCGCTGCTTTCGCTGAAGTTCAGGGGCCCGTTTCTCGAAAGTCCCGGTAACTTTACGGGCCCGAAATCAAATATTCAAATCGAAATATAAAGAATAAGAGCGCGGGTCCTGGCTAGCAAACTACTCCATTTTGTTTTATTAACTGGCAGTTTTATCGTGTTAGATGCAAAACTATTGAAACCTCGATCTTTAATGTAAACGGAGACAGCTTACCGGGCCCGTTAATTATCGAGACTTTCGAGAAACGGGCCCCAGGTCACCGTTCTTTCAGTGTTAAACCATTTCCAGCCACTTGTCCAATCGGGCACTGTTGTGTTTGCAGCCCGCGGTTATTTGCCTCAGAACTATTTAGCGATTTCCCAAGGTACAATAAACAGAGGATGAATAAAATGAGCCCAAGTCGCTGCACTTGTTGCCTGGAAACCCACAATGCACGATGACGTCATGTTGAATGGCGTCTTTAGCATTTGTTTATGGCTTGTTGCTAGGCAACTGGGGATACCAAACAGATAGAAAGATTTATGACCAAAGCAAAATCGCAGTTCGCTTGCGATCCTCGCGTGATACGCGCGCTGCGCGCGCGCGACAAAATTATAAACTCGCTTCGCTCGCAAAATTTGTGAATAGTAACAGGTGGTAGCCAGTGGGGCATTTGACATTTATTGAAAGTGTCAACATACCCAGGAAAATGTGTCACAAAAGTGAAATATCTAGGGGTGTGGGTGGGGTGAGAATAATCCATTCGCCCGAAACGGACGCCGAGAAATGAACACTCTAAAAGACTTAACAGCCCATCTGACAACCTGACAAGCGACTTTACTGACATGTAACTATCAAGTTAGTTTTACAACGCTTGGTTTCAACTGACATAGTTATAACAAGACTCCCCTCTATCAACTATGGTTTTAAGTATAACCAACATGCTAATATTCTTAAATTACATCTTATAGTCTGATTACATAAAGCTAATTAATTTCGACTGACCATGCAACCCGCCGGTCAGTTCTGATTAACTTGTATAACCCTTGCCAATGCGGTGAGTAGGACGCAAAAGGAAAAATTTCAAATGATTCGAATTCTGTTCTGTTGAATAATCTTTAGGCTGGTGTCTAGGTCAAAATCACAGTAAAATATTTCTGATTAGTATATACACACTCAGTGATCTTGGCAATTCAAGCAATCTGATTGGTTAGCTATCTCGGACTATAACGTTATATTCACCGCGCTAGGCGGTGAATATAAAGCCGAACAAAATCGCTGTCGTGAACTGGGTGTTTTGCCAAAGTTTCAAAGTAAAACCTTTTTGAAAATACACGAATATCCAAGTGCTGATGACTTTGAAGGCAAGAAAAGACTTCATGGTGTTTAAACAGCGTGATTTATTGTGAAGTGGTTTACTTTAGCTGACTTTTTGTACGCTCGAAGCTATGTTTACCACTTCAGAGGAAAACGAGGTCGCTTTGTCACTGTTTTGTGATTTCGGGATTTTCTCGCAAGACCAATTTTGCCTATAAATAGAAGTTAATTTATGGAGAAGAGAGGAAGGCAAATATTTTCGAAAATTGTACGTGCCAGCAAGTTAACAAGGCAAAGAACTTTGAACATAAACAACGCTCACCTTGATCGCAGCCGCTGTTGACAGCATTTGCAAGAAGCGACGAAGAAAACTTTCTCATTCACGGTGAGTTGACAGAAACAAATAAAGCTGTAGATACTTTTCTTCTCAGAATTGGGTAGTAATTTAAATTTTCGGCGTTTTCTTTTAAACCGTTGAAGCTTACAAAACTCGATACAAAAGGATTAAAACTATCATTTGCCATGTTTGAAGATACTGTAAAGATCTAACTTTTGCGCATCCACTGTTTACGGCTTCGTGTTCACGCATGAATTTTCACCCGTCAATCAAACTAATCGTTTTTTAATGGTTTCCTTTCCGATTCTGTTGAGATCACTTCGTGTGAATATACTAAAACAATTATTCACCTCAGGCGAAGTTAATATTGTTGAATAATCCCCTCGACTTCGTCTCGGGGATTATTCAACAATATTAACTTCGCCTTCGGCGAATAATT